AGGTTTGTGCGCTTGGGGTCGGAAGAGGTAGGAGGAAACTGTGACTTTGTGCCATAGCTGGTGCCGGACAGGAGATCCCGGCTCCTTCCCCGGGAGAACCGGCACGCCGTGTGGGCTGCTGTTCGCAGCCAGCGGCCCGGCTCCTTCCAGGATTTGCAGCATGTCAGGAGCAGTTTCTGAGTCTATTTGTCCTGGAATATCTGGAGACCTGTCACTTCTGCACTTTTAAAAAGTGCAGTTATTCAGGTACTGTTGAAATGAGGCTGATAGCGGGGTTTGAGATAAGAAGTGGTGGGAGGGCTGCGTAGCCGTTTGAAATGGCCTGGTCCGTTTGGGCTCCAGCTGCCGGCACGTCGTGTTGACGAGGCCTGCTGCGGGGAGCTCAATAGTGGTTTAATTGTGTGTACTTTGGCTGATAAGTCTAATTCAGGAAATGATAAATTGCCGGACACCTAATTTGTTTGCAAATAAAAAGTGATAGATGATTTTATAATGAGTTGATCTGTGTAACCAATCTGTTTTTTTTCACCTTGAATGAATAATAGGCATTTAGTGTTAATTTAGGTTTACTGGATTGAGTAGACTATGAACACAGTTGACAAGCATATACCTTAATATCGCTGGTTCGTAGTTGCTCTGCAAGTCTCTACACAGGAATTGGAGCAGAATCAGGGACAGTCGAGGCTGGAAGGGACCTCTGGAGGTCACCTGGACTAGGCTGTGCTTGCATCGTGCCTTGTCTTAGTTTCTTGAGAAAGTTAAAATTATATCAAAACTAGAGGGTTGTGCAGACTAAATCCAAGAGCAGTCTCGGCGCTTCCGAGGTAGCCGGGAGCCGAGGCCGGCGCTGCCGCGTCCCGCGTGGCCTCCGCGTTTCCCAGCAAAGTCTCTCGAACGCCTCTGCTGCACAAGCGGCTCCAGATAAGGTGTCCCAAACCCTGCCCGATAAGAGCGCTTTTATGTGCCATTATTGTCTTCCTGGCGGGAGCTGCGCCGTGGCCCATTCGCTCCCTTTCCTCCGACCCGGACATGGCAGCTAATAGACTCTGTTTTGCTAATGGGAAATTAATTTGTGCTCCTGACGTTCAGGTTTATAAATATGTAAAATATATTTTTAATTGTTGTTAGCAAAACAGGCAAGTAATCAATAATATCAGACGTGACAAACATACTGTTGACATACGCTATGGGCCAAAGGCCTGGGAAGAGATAAGGACTTCCTGTCAGCAGGGCCCTGCGCTAATTAATATTCAGACGTTGTCATGTTCGATGATAAATGAATTCCTTGAACTATATTGATATGGTAGGTTAAACATTGAAAAAGTTAGGTTGAACTTTGACTTTAAATATTCATTAAAGCTAATTATGGATTTTATGACTACATGAATTACAGTTTCTATGTCATCATTGGCAATTTGTTTTGAATTTATTTAAAGCAATCTTTATATATTAGCTCTATCACATTTAGTGAGGTAATGCAGTACATGTTTACTCTGTACAGTAATTAAACTTTTATTTAGAGTGTTTCCTTTATAGGATAAATTTCCACAGTTGAAGTGACATGCACTTTAAAGAAAGCACTTATGGCAATTAACTGTTAAAATAGCCACTGCTGTTTAAACCTTTGGATTTTGGGTAGGATTTCCGCAGAAGGAGGAGCGGGGTTTTAACCGCGCCCGCGCGCAGCGTGGCGGAGCCGAGGTGCCCGCGGTGCCGCTCCGGCGCGCTGCGGAGCCGCGTCCTGGAGCCGCATCAGGAAGGCGCCCGTTGGCTCGTCCCGCGCGACCGCGTTGCGGAACAGGGTGTCGCGGCTGCCCCTGTGCTGGGGTGGCCGGACCGCGGGGCCCACCTCGGGCACGGCCGACACCGGGCACGGGGGAGCCCTGCTGCCCAGGGGGCATCGTCGCAAACCCGCTCGTGGCCAGGGGCCGGGAACCGGCCTCCTGCCTTATCTCGGAAACTCTTACAAGTGCAACTCTTTGGGGCCTTTTTTTATCTGGGTTTCTCTATGAAATTGCCTAGATCTTGTACATACTACTGGTGCCACATGCACTACTGCTTTTTGTTCCAAAGAATATTAAACATATAATTAACAAAATAAAGCAGGTCTGGGTTTCAGATTAATACTGTTTGACTTCACTGGCAACACACCCTTTCATTTCAAGAGAATCAATTGGATTAACACAATCTCCTCCAGAAGAGGAGGTAGGCACTGGGCCCCCAAAGAAAGTTTCTTTTTATTTATCTTTCACTGCATTATGGCAGTGGATCATATCTGCACTCCATCATTTTTACAGGTTGCCATTTATGTACCTAAACGCGATTAAGTCGGTAGCAATGCGGAAGATAGCGATAGCTGTAATTTCCTTTCCATTAGAGTTTAACTTCTTTGAGTGGTGTGCTTGAATGGTGGAAAAATGAGATTGTCTGTGAAGCGTCAAGCAGCGAGCGGAGCAGGAGGCCCAGGAGAGCCGCAGCCGGGGCCGGGGGCTCCCCTGCTAGAGCGGGAGCATCCGAGCAGAGCCGGCCTCTCCGAGCAGCGTGACTCTGCCCTGATGGTAGGCAGCTACAAGAGCTTAAGGATTCCGGTCATTTAGATCTAAGGATTCACCTGTCTTTCAAATTATTAAAGTCTCTTTGAATTTTCCAAGTTTTCCAAGTTTCCAAGTATTTCTTTAATCAGCCTTACGGTACCATCCCAGGGGCAGCAAGGGGTATTCCAGTTGGATAAAAGGAGAAGTTCACCCTCTGGGTGACCAAGCAGTAGAGCAGAGGCTCCAGAAGACGAGGTTGACTCCAGCCGTGGAGGTTTTGGAAGCTCATGTGGACAAGGCCAGATTTTTGCTTGTGTGTTGAAGAAAGGTATGGACCAGCTGGGGAGAATTCAGATAGAGGGAAAAATGGGTTATGCCTAGAAAACACAACTTTAAATTACTCTAATAAGCTGATGGTAACTGTTGATGAAATGTAATAATCACATTTTACTAGACTTTATAGCTGAGAACTGATCAAACTATTGATATATGTTGCCTTTCTGTATGTATCAGATTCAAATGGCTTGAATTTGATATGATGTTTAGGCTATAAGCTTTTAAGGTCAGCTCTCTAAATACGTAAAAGCAAGTAATAGCTCTGCTGCAGTGTCCTTCCTTCAACCCAGAAGTGTTTTACTTCGTAAGTGTTCCCATTGATTCTGGTAGAATAAAGCCTGCATATAAAATAAATTAAAAGCTAATAAAATGCTTACCCATAACATGAAATTTAGTGATAGAAACCATGTTGCGAGACCCCCGCGTGTCCGCGTGTGCCTGAGGGCCGCGGCGCTCCCTGGCGCGGGGCGCTCGTGGCGCAGGATGTCGCGGTTGGGCCCTTGTTCGCAGGAGATTCCTTGAATGAGATTTTAAGAGTTTTAACTAGATGTGCCTATCTAAGAAGGGGGTGAATGTGCTTTTCTCTCTAGTCAGAAACTCACTGTGTTTAAGAATAATCTCTTAGATTTTAAAAAAGCCAAAGACCAGAGTATAATCAAAGTTTAGATTGAGATAGCAGCATTTTATTAATTGATAACAACATTATATTTGGCTAGAAATTAAATAGCAGGTGTCAGTGTTTTTATTTTTCCCTGGCAGTGTGTCCTTGTTGCAAGATAGTTAACCTTGAGTCCTCTCCGAGAAAGTCTCCTGCGTTTCCTTATTCGCCTCCTCCGTATTAAGGCAGCCCGGGGAGAGCCTGCAGCGCGCTGCCCGGGTCACGCGGCAGCGTGCCCATCAATTCAGCGCATGACAGTGTTTTCCGTCGGATGGACTAATATGTCAAGGAGATGGGCAGGACCTCGTGTTCGCGCTTTTGACAAATCAGCAAATGTTTAATCTCTAGATGTGCTGGTCTCATAAATAATGCAGCGCTGGGGAGCCGCGCGCCGCGGCCGGGGGGCTCCTCACGCGGGAGCGGGAAGACAGAGCGACGCTAAATCATCCATTTTGTGCAACACGGCGGCTCCTTCCTACACGTCCGACCACTCGAGTTCGGTGGTGGCGGGCTGCGATTCCCTAGCCCCTCCTTCCCCTCTTTTGTGTGCATCATGTTTGTTTAGAGGCTCATCAGGCCCCCACTCAAATCTGACCATTTTATTTACATTCCATCTGTTTATGTCATTTTCTCTTTCGCACTTAATTTTCCTTTTCTCCTTTCTAACATGTAAACTTCAACTCACTAACTGGAAACAAAGTGTGTGTGAAGTAAGGGTGAAGAAGTAAAAGCCATGGGGAAGCTCAGGCCGCGCAGGTGAAGTCTCGGCAGAGCTCCCGTGGCAGAAGTGGCGCCGGCCTCTTCGAGCAGGTTTCGGGACAGGGACCCTTGGGCAGGTTCCCGGCGGTGCTGGAGGGTTCCCGGTGCGAGCTCGGGCCACGTTTCTCAGGGATGGCCTCGGCGCCGTTCCCGAGCGCGGCGCTCCGCCGGCTGCCAGGGCTTCCCCGGAACGTGGGGGCTCCTCCGCGCGGCAGGGCCTGCTGCAGGCCCGGGCTTTGCTGGGCCGGGATTGGCCTCCGGAACCGCTGCCGGAGCCCGTAGCTCGCGAGGAGCCCGCGTCGAAAGAGATACGGAAATAAGGGAGACGTCCGCTCCGCAGCGGGCAAAGGCGTTTTCTAAATCCTTCGTGCACCTGCAGTGGAAAAGACCTTAAGGGAGGTTTTCTTTTTCAGGTACTCACCTGAATTACTGAATGACATTAATCCTTTGGGAGTTTATAAATGTGCTTCTGGTAATTGTGCCATGTTGGGAGAACTTACAACACTGTTATTTATTGTGACTTGCAAAACTTGAAAGAAACAGTGAAGGAAATGTGTAACTCTTAGAGACTTATTAAAACACAAACATGGAACACAAAAATTAATATTTTCATTTATTACTGCATAATATTTTTGTTTGTAAGCATGATTTGCTTTGTAGCAATGCAAAGTAGTTGTTTTTATAATTTCATATTTTATTGCTGTTTTCTACAGGCTCTAGGAAGTTTTTACTTTCTTCATGAATCCTTGAAAAACATCTATCAGTTTGATTTTAAAGGTAAGCAAAGGAAGTAGATGTCATTAAGTCTTTTTTTAAAAATGGTATTTTTCAAGGCATTTACCAAGCATTATATGTCAACCCTGGCTTTCAGTCCTCTTTCCTAGTGGTGCTGCCTAACAGATTTTCCATCATATGCAAAGTTTTGCATAATGCATGCCAGTCCGTCAATGATGGCCTTTACTTTTCTTACCTTTTATAGACCTCTTAGAAGAAGTCAATGGACCGGCCACAGGCTGAGGACCGGTGCATTAATCACAGGCATGCAGATGGACCTTTGGATCCATACAGATCGCTGATGATTTCGGGAGAACTCTGAGTGTCCACAGAGTTCCCCAGTGCCAATCAGTTATAGGACCAAGACCTTAAGTGTCCAGCAGTGATGACCATTTTGCAGCACAGCTGAGGTAGATTTATGGCTCGAATTACTTTGGAGCAGTGCAGGTCAGTAGGAAGGTGTCATTGTTCTTAGCCAGCATTGATCCATCAGTTTGGAAGTCTTGCTAAAAAGTTTAAAGTAATGCCAGGCTAGGTGCAATAAATATTTGAAATATCATAGACAGTTATTGAATGCTTTCTGAAGGTACATGTAGAAAAGATTATATAAAATTTATGTTTTTTTCAGCTGAGAACTGTCTATACATCTAATACAAAAATCTTGTGAGCTTCATTTGGCTTACTGAGCTGAATCACTTAATACTACATCTAGCATCCCATTAATTTGAGACACTCGAAATGATGATAACTATGGAGTGAACTGATTGTCTTAATTGTATAGATTCATTATTTTTCTTCTCAGTAGAGTCAGAGAGCCTCGGCTCGTGTAATTGAGGGTACAGGGTCTTCCTTCCTTGAAATATATGAACAGTAGTTTTATGAATTTTATAATTCAAGATTTTGCCAACATAAGTCTTTTTGTCATCGTTAGTTTTGATGGTGATGGAAAATTTTAGATGTTACGGGCATATTTTATCTCTGAGAGCAAGCAGTGGAAAACCCAGCAGAGGTGTTGGGACTTGTGCTGGGAGGGCAGCGTGCGGACCCAGTCTTCCTCCCACATTAGAGCAGTCTGATGAGCAGTAAGCCGTGTTAGAAGATGCTGTTTATGAGATGAATTGCTTGTGGGATGGAAATACAGGAGGGAACGGCCTAAGGTGCTGCCAGCTGCCCTGCTGGAACAGCCTGCAGGGCTGCCAGCTCTGCAAGGGAGGGAGCCAGCGGGCAAGGCAAGAAGCGTGCGCTGGCGGCTGAGGTGACGGCGGCACAGCCGCTCGCTCACTGGGACCCGTGAATGCCTTTGGCTGTCACTAGTCCAGGAAAGGCATTTGTCATTCCTGAGGCAGCAACTGCATGGCACCAGTGGTGGAGGACACCACATGCTCTGAGCTCCACTTAAAGCCAGGGGGACTTTTCTCAGTTTATTCATGTTTCATTGGCCGCTTTAAAGAGAAATACAAATATAAAAAAGTGGGGAAATGAAAGGAAAAAGAACATGGACAAATAATCAACGCAAAAGAGGCAAACAGACTTGTTACAGGAGAAAAAGAAAAAAACAACAACAACAACAAAACCCCATCATCCATACCTACTGCTTCATTTGGCTCAGCAAAGCCTATATCTTAGCTTTCCGGCAAAGCCGCTTGAGGCTGTGGACCAGCTGAGTTTCATAAAGGCCTGTTTGGCCCAATCATCTCTCAGGAGGAAAAATAGGAAAAGTCCAAGACTGTTTTTACAGCGACATAGGCTCAAAAATCAGCTTACATTTTAAACCAGTAAAAGTAACATGCTCTGAAAAGCCACCATCAAACAGGGGCATTTGCTGATGGAGGTGTGAGGCTGATTCCAGTCTACCTCTCATCCTTGGAGCAGTGTCACACGTTTGATTTGCAGAAGGAATCTTGTTTCCTGTGGTAGGGAATCACAAATAGTTTAGATGTGTTTTCTCTTGAAAATGCATCGGAAGGCAATGATCGTTCTGCAGCATTTGCCTCTCAGCAGTCATGTTAGTAAATTATTGCTAGTTCATAGTTAGCACTGATGTAAGTTGATAGTGAAATGCCTCCTTTCTGCCAAGTGCTGCCTCTTGTTGAGGCCCTCCCATAAAAGCCTTCAGTCCGTGCTGTTCTGCCAAATGTGCCCTGTGTTTTGAAAGACACTGGGATCTTTGTGCTGACGCCGTCAGACTTCCTGAACGAGGCACATCATCCACGATCTACCTAGAATGATGCCACGTTTGTTTATCAGGATATTGTTTGGGCTTCCTGCGGGAGACAGGTCTCAAAGTGATTGGCACATGAAGCATGGTACTTTTTTTTTCCTGAAAATATATTGCTACATTACAGTAAATGCTTCCTGTGATTACAGATGATGCTTTATCTAGACAGCTTAAACTGACAAATTTTTGCATTACTTGGAATCTCACCAGATATCTAGGAGAACAGTTCAGGGCTGCTGACATTAATTTTAATTAGCCATATATCAGAGGTAGAACTCAGCTGGGTTTGGTAGTTCCAGCTTGACTGTAGCTGTCACTGCCTGCTCCCTGCGTGGGACAGGTCTGGGGAACCAGAGATGGTTCCTTCAGATTAAGGCTGAAAAGTCTGTGTTTTTCATCTTTAATGCAACCATTCCTTAAGGACTCTCCAGAGCGGTGTGCTTTACCCCTAGATCTCCTTTAACAAGCACAGCATCCTCTCCACCTTTAGATCCATGCATCAGCCACACATGCCGAGAGCCACAAATAATCCGGAACAGGCAGCTGTGCAGCCCAGGAACAGCTGGTACCTGTGTGTTTGAATGGACGAGTCAGATTCATCTCCCGCATGTCTCCAGAGCAAGATTTTAAACTTCCTTGGCTTGAAAAACCTGATCTGGGAAACTGCTATGGATGGCCTAATGTCAGCGGAAGCTATCCAGAAATAAGACTGCATTTTTACTGTGAGGATTTGAAAGTGCCTAAGAAAATGAGTTTGTTTATATTCGATTGAGCTGTGTGCACTCGCACAACATTTTGGGAGGAAATAAAGAATAAGTAAGATCCATTTTTTTCCTGCAGATCATTTTTAATTTTTTTTAATCATTGTCACTCAACTGATTAAGGAGCTCCCAGCTGATACCTGTGATTTATGTTCCCAGCCTTCCTGATGGATGGAGGCTGGCGTGCGGCTAGGCCGCGGGAGCGTAGGCAGAGATGGAGGTTCTTCCCACTCGTGTGTGCAGGACGTGCTGTATCACACCAGCGTGATCCGGTACCTGGTGCTGAATGTGCCGGGGGCAGCAGGGCATGGGGACAGGAATCCCCTTTGCAGGAGTCTGTCGGGGATAGACCTTGGAGCTTAGCAGTTGCGCTTCATAAAGCGCCATTTAGGTGTGTGTGATTCCTACTGTAATTCCTGGTATTTAAGTAGTTAAAAATAGTGAAGTTTATATAGTCAGACAGGTAATTAAGAGTCTGTAAGAGTTATAAGTCAATGAACTGTTAAGAATTTGAGGCCTTTTTCAGATTCC